ACTGAAGAAGTCACTTGGATGAGTGACGAAACGTTTCTCCCACAAAACGCTACGTCCAGATGAACAGAATCAACTTTTGGAGATTTACTTACCTGGATGATTGAGCATGCATCAAGACGTTTCAAAATTGTACCACTCTCCATTTTATTTTTATTTATTTAATAATAAATGAAACACTAGAGTGTGCTGTTTTCTAATGAAATCATTATTTTGTGACACAAATTCCAGAAAGTTTCTTTTGATTTACATTCAAAATGGGAGAAATTTGCAAAAATGAACCTACTGATTAATTGTTGCCATCATTAATACTGAGATGTGTGTCAGTGTGTTTACCTTTTCTGTTGTAGTTTAGTTTGGTGGCGACTTCAGTGTAGAGCACAACTGAAGGGTCTATTTTACCTGCAGCAAAAAACAAATCAGAGAGCATTACAATCTTGAAATCCTGAGATTTTTTTAAGGTGGATATAATGAAGTAAACTGAAAGCACAGCTGTGTTTAAAGTTAATTGTGAACCTTTTGTATGCTAAACCTGGGCACTGAAACTGTGACAAACATTTGAAACATTACTATACAAAACATTATTTCATTAACTTCTTTAAAAGCTAAAAAAAAAAAGAAAGTAAAATAGTTTTTTTCATTTACAGGGCAGTTCTATTTTTCCATGTGCTGACCTTTGTGGGTTTTCCAGAGACTGAGCAGCATTACTGAAACCATTGAGAGGTAGATGCATACCACAGGAAGGAGAATATGTGTCAGGCCAGAGTGAGCCAGCTCACGGGGCACTGCTTTAAAGCAAAAACACTCCAGGTTATCAGCAGTGGGGAAAAAACAAGGCTTACATTACTCACTTTATATTCATGTGTCTCTCATTTACAGTAAATCATGCAATGAACAAAGTGGAGGAGGCTTTTTTAATAGCCAAAAACTTTATTGGGAACACGAAACAAAAACAGCTCCCATGACTGCCTCACATGTTTTATCCACATAAAATACAACTACACATAAATGGCATATTCCAGAGCAACCAGAGAGCATTGCTTTTGTCAGAGCTGTTCAGAGTAAAGTTGAAGTTACATAAAAAATAACGTCCCAATATAAGTAAAGAGGGAAAAAAAATTATGCCCCCTCACCCCCGAGACTGACAGTCAGCAGGCTGTCTGGTGATTGTCCAACTCCAGAGATGTTACACTTGTAGAGTCCTTCATCTGATTTGGAAACCCTGTGGATGGTCAGGTTTCCTGTAGAGCTGCTCCCAATAATATCATCATTTTTATAGAA